TTCTTCATGTTCTTCGTGTCATTTGAGGCGTTCTTCGTCGAAAGTCACTAATTTAAACAAACGATCCAATATTTGTTGACGAATCGATAAACTTAACGTTCTTCGACGTATACCCAAGCCGGAGAAAGGATCAAAGCTCCAAAAGCCGTTGAATGATCCGTCAAAGCAAAGGAAGAGCCTCCCAAGTTTATTCCAAAGCTTCAAGGTGTTCGTCGCGTTCTTCGCCAAAAGCATCAACCAGACCCTCTTCAAACCAAAAGTCAAACGAACACGCTGAAAAAAGTGTTATGGAGCACCAAATCCACTCCTTAAAAGATCAAAGCCTCGAATCATCCAAAAAAATCCAAAGCAGATGATCAAATTTGCCTACACGGAGACCAAAGCCTTTCAAAAGCCGGTAAAGCCAAACCAAAGATCAAATCCTCGGATTGTCCAAAGAAAACATCAAATCCAAAGCCGATGATCAAATCACCAATATGGAGACCAAAGCACTCCAAAAGACGGCAAAGGCAACCGAAGATCAAAGCATCGGATCGTCCAAAGAAAACATCATATCCAAAGCCGGTGATCAAATACCCCATATGGAGACCAAAGCCCTCCGAAAGCCGGAAAAGCCAAACCAAATTGAAAGCCTCGGATCGTCCAAAGAAGACATCAAATCCAAAGCCGACGATCAAGTTGCTCACAATGAGACCAAAGCCCTCCAACCGCCGGCAAAGCCAAACAAAAGATCAAAGCATCGGATCGTCTAAAGAAAACATCGAATCCATAGCCGATGATCAAATCCCTCATATGAAGACCAAAGCCCTTCAAAAACCACCAAAGCCAAATCAAAGATCAAAGCCTCGGATCGTCCAAAGAAGACATCAAATACAAAGCCGACGACCAAATCGCCGACACAGAGACCAAAACTCTTCAAAAGCCGGCAAAGCCAAACCAAAGATCAAAGTCTCGGATCGTCAAAAGAAAATATCAAATCCAAAGCTGATGATCAAATCGCCCGCATGGAGACCAAAGCCCTCCAAAACACGGCAAAGCCAAAGTAAAGAGCAAAGCCTTGGATCGTCCAAAGAAGACAACAAATCCAAAGCCGACGATCAAATCGCCCACCAAGAGACCAAAGCCCTCCAAAAGTTTGCAAAGCCAAACCAAAGATCAAAGCCTCGGATTGTCCAAAGAGGACACCAAATCCAAAGCCGGCCATCAAATCGCCTACACGGAGACCAAAGCCCTCCAATATCCGAAAAATCCAAACCGAAGACCAAATCCCTTCGAATCAAAGAAGCCATTCAAATCTAATTTGGAAAACAAATCGATCCGGAAAGAGAAATAAATGACCCATTTAGAGAATAGGACCGTTTTAAATCAAAATTAAATATAATTTGTATAAATTTTTTGTTTATTAGAAATAACACAAATTTTTGTCGACAATAATGCTTAGTTCAAATATGTCATAAATTAAAAAAAGTTAAAAACATTAGACATTTCTTTTTTTTTTAGATAAATATATTAGAAAAATTTGAAGTTTATATACAATGCTAAAAAATCATTTACGTCTGTCATACAATATTTCACTTAGTTTGTTGGACAGTTACAGGTTATAAACTAAAAAATATATACTTTTTATATACATATTTGCCCAAAATTACTTACTTCATGCCACTTTAATAATTATAATAATTATGTATTTTTCTGATGAATTAAATTTCTGTGTACTAACAAAAAATGTATATGATAGGGGTTATATGAATTATCTTCCGAGGAAAACATGCAAGGAAATAATACACTTTTCTCAACAACCACAGCTGAAAAAAAATGAAGAATATTTTCTTGACTCCTACAAAGTAGTGGCACTATATATTGCTAAATATTGGAGATACATGGAGTAAATATTTTACACAAGTTTGAATTATTATTATTATTATTATTAGCATTATTATTAATTCAACATTAGCAATCAGGATGTGAGTAAAATGTCAATCAACAACCATTCAGGGCCAGTCCACACTAATACATGAATTGGAGGTATATTTTTTCAATAACGAACTATAGAAATCGAGTTTTTGTAGTCTTCTACCGTAAGACATTATTGCTTCTACTTTGAGGATAATAATATAATAGGTCCATGGAAATCGAAAATTTATAAATTTTAAAAGTTAATCACTCAGCTAAGTAATTAAATTCATTTTAGGATTATTATCCAATTAATGAAAAATATTATATGTTATTTAACAACTTCCTTCATTAATTTAATGAATTGAAGATAAATGAACAAAATTTATATGGGCTAGTATAAGTAAGCTATATTTTATTTCAACTGATATTTTGGGATCAACTTTCAAATTTTTGGGAGTTTTTCATGTTACCAAAAATAAATATAATTCACATAAAAAGCCTCTACCCTATTTTCAATTCAAATTTAGAAACCTAGATTAAATAAATAAAAAACTAAACAGTTGTGGGCTTTCTTTCAAGCCCAAAATCGATTTGCAAATGCCTGAAACCCTAGCCTATATAAATTGGTTTACACTCTTCTTTCACTTACTCAAATCTGATACAGATCTAAGGGTTTGCCGAAATTGTGAAGAAAAAACCAAGCGAGTATTTCCTTTGAGGCACAGGTGAGAAGAAAATCATTGTTAATCGTATGGTGTATGATCAATATATGTATGATTAGATTCTTTTTTCATATATGCTTCATTTATTTTGGGTTTTTTTAGTCAATTTTACAAACAACATAATTTTTAAGATTTTCCTCTAAGAATTACATATTTTCCTTTTTCGTATCAATTGGAAAATTTTATAGTTAAACAAGCTTGTAGTAGAGTCAATCGAAACACACAAAGGGCTGAAACTGACTTTGGTACATTAAATTTTTAAATTTTTAAAATTCATTTTGGTTTTACCCTTAGAAATGAGTTTCCACATTATGCATTTTTGTGGGGATCTTGTTCCCAAGTTTGATAGGATTTCATTAGCCATAACTAATTCATCGCATTTCGGTTATGATGTATGATAATATAATATATCATAGTGTACATTATTGCAGATCATTGTAGCAATGGAATAACTGGAGTTCCTTTAACATCGACGGAGTCTATGGTTTGTCTTGTTCCGGCTTGTCTTTGGTTGTTTTCTTAAATAATCATGCCAAACATCTCTTACATAAGATTCTAACATTTTTCATAATATTTGGCGATTTAAAATATATATGTAAGCAATTTATATACAACTATATACATTTCTCTAGTTTTTCGTTTCGTAAAACTTCAAGCCATGATTATGTTGATTTGTTATTTGGAAATAAATTTACGTATTTTCCTTTTTATGTTAACAAATGGTCAAATGTGTTACTATTAATATTTCGTATTGATACCTATGTCAAATTTCCATGAGTGGGAAAAGACTGGAGCCAATATTCCATCCGGAGATTCTTCTAGTTTTCCAAATTGGTGGCTGTATATGTCTTCGTACCCCACACCAGTAATTGAACCTCTAGTATGTAATCATTTCCATATTGTGTTAAAAGAATCATCTACCACCTTAAATTCTGTTTTTCTATTTAATTCGCTTATAGAATGCCTATGTTCACATTCCATAAAAATATTTGTCCTTTTCTTATAAGAAAAATAAGTATGTGTATCCAACATCCTATTGTTATTTGTGAGAAGAAATCATCAAATAGAAAGTTAAGGAAACAATTTAATATTTAATAAAAATTAAATACTTGGATATGTATTAAAATTGTTGTTTGAAATTATAGTACATCAGTTGAATGAATTATATTTAAAGAAAAGTTATCAAGGCATGTCTTATATTCTACGCAACTACAATAATAGAATAAATTATTGTGTATACCTATTAGCTAAAATTTTCACTTACCTTACATTCTAGGTACAAGTAGCTTGTGACAACAAATAAAATTATATTATATTTAAAATGTAGATTGAAGTGCTTAGACTGAAAATCACTTCATTAAGAAAGTTAACACCAATGCGGATTCATCAATATTTTCTCCCATTAGTTTCTCTTCATTGTCTTCATATTTTTCTACAATATAGTCATTGACTAATTGTAGAACCTCTCCTTTATGAGTAGTATTTTCATCTATTTTTCACTAAAAAGTCATCTTCTTGATCATTCAACGAAAACACCAACGCTTACACATCTCTTTTATTCTAGTGTTACAATCATGATGTGGAACATTCCTTATAATTTTTCAAAATTTATCAACAATAGAAATTTAATTACAGGAGCTACATTTATCCCCAGAGGAAAATATGCATGGTTTATCTACTACCATGATTGAAAAGAGATGGAGAATATTCTTTAGACTTCTCAAACGTAGTGAGCCCTTACATTGCTACATATTTGAGATGCATGAGGTACGTAAGTTACAACATATTAAGTATACAAGTACAAATTATTATTACTATTATTGTTGTTGTTGTTGTCGTTATTTTTATTGTTATTATCATTGTCTAATGGTACAATAGGTTGAAAGAGGAAAAATTACTAGGTATCAATCAATAGTCCATGCACATGAAGTAACAACAAGGATTGTAGCCATGAGCGAACATATAACAACAATGATATTGTGTATACCTATTAGCTAAAATTTTCACTTACCTTACATTCTAGGTACAAGTAGCTTGTGACAACAAATAAAATTATATTATATTTAAAATGTAGATTGAAGTGCTTAGACTGAAAATCACTTCATTAAGAAAGTTAACACCAATGCGGATTCATCAATATTTTCTCCCATTAGTTTCTCTTCATTGTCTTCATATTTTTCTACAATATAGTCATTGACTAATTGTAGAACCTCTCCTTTATGAGTAGTGTTTTCATCTATTTTTCACTAAAAAGTCATCTTCTTGATCATTCAACGAAAACACCAACGCTTACACATCTCTTTTATTCTAGTGTTACAATCATGATGTGGAACATTCCTTATAATTTTTCAAAATTTATCAACAATAGAAATTTAATTACAGGAGCTACATTTATCCCCGGAGGAAAATATGCATGGTTTATCTACTACCATGATTGAAAAGAGATGGAGAATATTCTTTAGACTTCTCAAACGTAGTGAGCCCTTACATTGCTACATATTTGAGATGCATGAGGTACGTAAGTTACAACATATTAAGTATACAAGTACAAATTATTATTACTATTATTGTTGTTGTTGTTGTCGTTATTTTTATTGTTATTATCATTGTCTAATGGTACAATAGGTTGAAAGAGGAAAAATTACTAGGTATCAATCAATAGTCCATGCACATGAAGTAACAACAAGGATTGTAGCCATGAGCGAACATATAACAACAATGCCTATGGTTCTAATATTTAACCACGTCCATCTTCAAAGAACGAACATGTTAACCCTACATAAACGTTTAGGGAATTGGATAGTGGAGCAGCGCAACTCTAACGATTCAGAACGTAGGGACAAGGTAGCCAATTTATTGCACTTTTTTTACATTAAATTGACATATTATAATCTACATCATATTAACCCTTGTAGTTGACCCTTGAAAAACTTGTGGCAGTATTACATACATACTCTTATTGGGAAAAAGTTCCGATCAATATATGAAGTCATGACATTTATATTATGCGATGTCTTTGTTGAAGATTTGAACATGACATAAGGTAAACCATTAAAAACACTTCAAAGCTTTTGGCTTATCATTCACTTACTTGATTTTACGATGTAACACTTATTTTGTTTTGATTTTTCAGGTATTAGAATTTCAGAAGGTTGCCGATTTTGGGTTCACTAATTTTTCTGATATTTTTTATATGTAAGAAATTTATATACAGCTATATACATTTCTCTAATTTTTCGTTTCGTATAACTTCAAACCATGATTATGTTGATTTTTTATTTGGAAATACATTTACCTATTTTGCCATTTATGTTAAGAAATGGTCAAATGTGTTACTATTAATGTTTCGTATTGATACCTTTGTCAAATTTCCATGTGTTGTAAAAGTCTGGAGCCAATATTCCATCCAGAGACTCTTCTAGTTTTCCAATTTGGTTGCCGTATATGTCTTTGTACCCCACACCAGTAATTGAACCTCTGGTATGTAATCTTTTCCATATTGAACCTCTGGTATGTAATTGTACCTTGGTTGAATGAATTATATTGAATGAAAAACTATCAAGGCATGTGTTATATTCAATGAAACTACAATAATAAAATAAATTATTGTGTATACCTATTAGCACAAATTTTAACTTACCTTACATTCTAGGTACAAGTAGCTAGTAAGAACAAATAAAATTATATTATATTCAAAATGTAGAATGAAATGCGTAGAATAGAAATGACTTCATTAAGAAGGTTAACACCAATGCGGATTCATCAATATTTTCTCCCATTTGTTTCTCTTCATTGTCTTTATATTTTACTACAATATAGTCATTGAGTAATTGTAGAAACCTCTCCTTTATGAGTAGTATTTTCATCAATTTTTCACTAAAAAGTCATCTTCCTGATCATTCTATGAAAACACCAACGCTTACACATCTCTTTCATTCTAGTGTTACAATCATGATGTCGAACATTCCTTATAAATTATCAAAATTTATCAACAATAGAAATTTAATTATAGGAGCTACATTTGTCCCCGGAGGAAAATACGCATGGTTTATCAACTACCATGATTGAAAAGAGATGGAGAATATTCTTTAGACTTCTCCAATGTAGTGAGCCCTTACATTGCTACATATTGGAGATGCATGAGGTACGTAGGTTACAACATATTAAGTATACAAGTACAAATTATTATTACTATTATTGTTGTTGTTGTTGTCGTTATTGTCGTTGTTATTATCATTGTCTCATGGTACAATAGGTTGAAAGAGGAAAAATTACTAGGTATCAATCAACAATCCATTTACATGAAGTAACGACAACGATTGTAGCCATGAGCGAACATATAACAACAATGCCCATGGTTCTAATATTTAACCACGTCCGTCTTCAAAGAAGGAGCATGTTAACCCTACATAAACGTTTAGGGAATTGGATAATGGAGTAGCGCAACTCTAACAATTCAGAACGCAGGGACAAGGTAGCAAATTTATTGCACTTTTTTACATTAAATTGACATATTATAATCTACGTCATATTTACCCTTGTAGTTGACTCTTGAAAAACTTATTGCAGTATTACATTCATACTATTATGGGGAAAAAGTTCCGATCAATAAATGAAGTCATGACATTTATATTATGCAACGTCTTTGTTGAAGATTTGAACATGACATAAGGTAAACCATTAAAAACACTTCAAAGCTTTTGGCTTATCATTCACTTACTTGATTTTACGATGTAACACTTATTTTGTTTTATTTTTTCAGGTATTAGAATTTCAGAAGGTTGCCGATTTTGGTTTCACTATATCTATATAATTAATGTTAAATAATGCTAGTAGTTAAGAAAGGTTTAGGAGAATGTGAATTTTTGTATAACTTAGTTATGTCATGTTAATGTTGTTTTATCAACCTCTCCAATTAGTTCATATTATTGTTGTTGCAATTTAAATTAACTAAATGAAATTTATGTTTGTTTGGTCTGTTTCGATAATTATTTGAAGAGTGATATTACAACTTTGAAATAGTTTTAATTATTATGTATTTTAGTTGACTATATGAGAATCGACCAGGGAAATTTAATTCAATTAATATAAATTTTAAAATCATTCAAAACTTTTTTGTTTCATCTACATTATTCTTTTCTCCAAACTGTCTTCTTTTTCCACATGCTTCTTTTCATTATGCAATTTCCACAGGTGGAAGTAAAGGACTGTAAAAATGATTAATAACAAAAGAAATCTTGAGTTTATTCCCAAGAATTTTTGAAATGAAATAATTGATTCAACATTTAGATTGAAAGATTACACAATCATCCAATTATAATGTTGTTACGTACGAAATTTATAATTAGGGTAAAAGGCCCAAAATAGAAGAAGATGTGGGCCCGTCGTTAGGCCCACCAGTTGATTAAGGGGTTTCTCGAGGGAGTCAGTTGGCCTGCGGTCCGTCTAAGGAGCTAGGGGTTATTGTGGGCGGCTGAGTAGTCGGATGGGCCAGCTGCCCATTTAAGGAGATAAGGTGTTCAGAAGCGGTCGGTCGAGCTAGTTAAGTCCTGTAATTGACAGGAGCGGTTGGCAAGATTGTTAAGACACGTGTCAATGGAGGAGGAATTGGTGGGCGGTTGATGGCGGTTGCTGTAACCGACCAGACGACGGTTCAAAACGTTTCTTTAGGGAATATTTAAGGATTTGGGTCTATTCTGGGAGGGGATCTTCAATTTTCAGAAAAAAGCAAAAATTAATTGCAAATTTCCTTTTGGGGGTCACCTTTTATTTTTATGTATTTGAGTGCTTTATGCTACAAATAAATTCTCTTTTCAAATTCGATAATATTTTTGAATTTTACTTTGTTTTGTTGAAAAAATCAAACAACAAATGCATTATTGTTAGAAAAAAAGTAGTATTCAGTGATGAAACCACAACAAATATAAATAATACATATCCATGAATTTGGTATATATCACTCTCCAATTGAGCACCTAATTACAAAATCATCTATTCACCCGAGATAGTTACAACGTTAACACAACAACATAGTTGATTGGGCATCCATCGCAAAAAAAAAATAAAAAAGTAAAAAATGATTCTCTATTCCCATAGGGCAAACCCTAATGATCTCCAATGAGGAAAAAAAGTTGGGTTATCTATTTCCACATTTGGGATATGATGAAAAGAGATTAATGAAATGGTTACTAAAGCTAATTAAAACACGACTTTTTTGGCTGAATTTTTCGTCCCAAGTACGATGTAGCTATGTATTCATTTGATGAAAGATTTTCAATTTCCTTCTTTAACAAAGAATCAGTAATATAACAAATTGATCTTGGCTTACATGATTTAAGATTTGGAAGATCACTATAATTTATGCTAAATTTTCTAATGCTATTAAAATGTAGTTTAAAAAAAATAAAATTTAATGATACCCATTATTACCTTCAATACAATATGGCCTTAACTTAACAAGAGCTAAGTTGGAAATATTAATCTTCAAAAATCCTAGAAATGAAGATATCCAAACAATGAATGTGGCTAGAGGAAATTTGGTTCGTTGAATGATAAAGATTACAGGAAAAAGGTTAATTAGGAAAGCAAAAGGGAATTTTGTGTCTGCAAATTTTAGAATTTAACATGCTCATAACGAGAATTTGAATAAGTAGAGTATCCATGGAAGAAAGCAAAAGTGAAGATTTCACACAAATATTGCTGGTCCATGAAGAAACCTTAATCAATATTAAGTTTTTACACTATTCGGATATTTTGATATGTCCGTAAACATAGCCCGACCTATGGAGCCCAATTAGCTTGTAGGCTTTAAAATCCACTGTAGGATCTAAGGATTTGATCTAAACCGTCCATTATTTCTATATATTTGTACCTATAAAGTAATTGTAGAGTTAGTGTTGCAGTGTCTTTCTCTCTAGGTAGGAAAATTTCTCTCTATATTTTGTGTTTGTGTTTTGTAGCGATATTCCAGTTGTTTTTAATGAATGTTGTATTATGGTTTTTTTGTGATCTTGCGGTTGTTTCAGGGAAAAGTTTTTGAAGGTATTTCAGTGATATAATGATCCTATTCTGGTGAATGCTTTATGAGAGGTTTCCGGGATGTGGTTGTTTCCAGGAAACGGTTTGTGAGAAGTTTTTTGAGTATTTTTTTTTTATACGGCTTATATATTGGGACTCTAGTCATTAATGAAATGTGTTTTTTAGTTTACCTTGAACTCATAAATCTATTGAAGCTAATAAAAAAAATTATATGGTTTTATAAGCCAACATACCTTTCCTTCACCTATTTTAACCTAGAAATAAAGATCTACAAGAGTTCTTGGGCGCTTGCAAAGAGGTGAGGAGAAAGGTACATGAATTTCGTCTTTCAGCCACCACAAGGGAAAAGATATCTAATTAGTATTCATTTGGAGCATGAGAAAGACTTATAGACCAAATGCTTTTATTTATTTATTTTTTTTCGGCGTTAAAAAAAATTCTTGAAATGAAGGTGTGTTGAAGCTTAAGCTTTTTTGAAAAAAAATAGATTTATTTTTGTGACAATTGAAAGGCCATATAGTAGAAAGTTGAGCTGAAAAATGCAAAGGATCTAAGGTGTGAGTAATTCATTGTCGTTTTTTTGTTACAAAAACTAGAAAGTGTATTAAAATCTATATTGGGATCCTTTGCAATAATATATATGTTTTTACTTTTTTTTTCATTCGTTTAAATTTTTGTTAATTATTTTTTGAACTCAAGCTCCAACCTTATTTTATAGCTATTTATTTTAGTTCTCATCTAACAATTTTGTTTTTCTAGATATTAGATTTTAGCCCACTTACCCCATATATATATATATATCAATGTATCAATAAATATATACAAAACTTGCACTACCCCATTTCCGATAATGGTTTTGTATTTAAGACCTAATTGAGAACATAATTAAAAGGATATTAATTTTTAAATAAGAGTCTTTATTCAAATTTTTCGAATGTATAATTGTTTTATAATCACGTTTTACGCTTGATGCAAGTATTGATATTCTTCAATACTCAGAATTATTGCTGAAGGGAGAATAATATGTGGTGATCCTAGCTTTGAAGTTAAACATACAGTTTCACAAAAAATCCTCTATAGCCAATAAAGGGATAATATATACGCTAAATCTGAACCCATGAATCTGAAATAACTTCTGTTAGTAATGCTTAGGTCAAATATGTCGAAAAGTAAATAAGTTAAAAACGTTAGACATTTTTTTAAAGATAAATATATTATAAAAATCTGGAGGTTATCTACAATGGTATAAAACCATTTACGTCTGTCATACAATATTTCATTTAGTTTGTTGGACAATTATAGGTTATAAACTAAAAAATATATATATTTTCCATATACATTTTCGACCAAAATTAGTTACTTCATGCTACTTTAAAAATTATAATTATTATATATTTTTCTGATGAATTAAATTTCTATGGACTAACAAAAAATGTATATGGCAGGGGCTATGTGAATTATATTCCGAGAAAACATACCAGCAAAATAATACACTTTTATTAACAATCACAGTTGAAAAGAAATGAAGAATATTTTCTTGACTCCTGTAAAGTAGTGGCGCTATATATTGTTACATATTGAAGATACATGCGGTATATATTTCACAACATATAATGTATACAAGTTTGAATTATTATTATTATTATTATTAATGCAATATTGACAACGAGGATGTGAGTAGATCTCAATAAACATCAATTCTGGCCCGTCCACACTAACACATGAGTCTTTGTAGTCTCTATACTCTAAACATATTCGTTACTACTTTGAGGATAATAATATAATAGGTCCATGGAAATCAGAAAATTCATAATTTTTTAAAAGTTAATCACTCAGTTAAAAAATGAAATTCAATTTCATATTATTATCAAATTAATGAAATATATTATATTTTATTTAACAACTTGCTTCATTATTTTAGTCGATTGAATATAAATGAACAAAATTTATATGGGCTAGAATAAGTAAGCTATTTTTTTATTTCAACTGAATTTTGGGACCAACTTTCTAATGTTCGAGAGTTTTTCTTGTAGTCCAAAATAGTTATAGCTCACATAAAAAGACTTTTCCCTATTTTCAATTCGAATTTAGAAACCTGGATTAAATAAAAGAAAAAAAAAAGAAAGGGGAAACAGTTGTGGGTTTTCTTTCAAGCCCAAAATTGATTTGCAAATACATGAAACCCTAGCCTATATAAATTGGTTTACCCTCTTCTTTCACTTACTGAAATTTGATACAGATCTAGGGTTTGCCGAAATTGTTAAGAAAAAACCAAGCGAGTATTTCCTTTGAGGTACAGGTGAGAAGAAAATTATTTTTAATGGTATGGTCTATTCAATTTTACAAACAACATAATTTTTAAGATTTTCCTCTAAGAATTACATAATTTTCTTTTTCGTATCAATTGGAAGATTTTATAATTGAACAAGCTTGTAGTAGAATCGATCGAAGCACACAAAGGGCTGAAACTGACTTTCGTACTTTAAATTTTAAAATCTTTTAAATTAAGAAGTATGTTAAATATATATATGATATCATATGCCATAAATAGAAATTGTATATGCGATATTTATATCCCCGTGTTTCTGCTTCCTCATTCATTTTGTTTTTACCCTTAGAAATGAGTTTCCATATTATGCATTTTTGTGGGGATCTTGTTCCCAAGTTTCATAGGATTTCATTAGCCATAACTAATTCATCGGATTTCAGTTATGATGTATGATAATATAATATATCATAGTGTACATTATTGCAGATCACTGTAGCAATGGAATCAACTGGAGTTCCTTCAACATCGAGGGAGTCTATGGTTTGTCTTGTTCCGGCCTGTCTTTGCTTATTCTTACAAATAATCATGCCAAACATCTCTTACATAAGATTTTAATATTTTTCATAGTGGTTTTCTGATATTTTATATATGTAAGAAAT